TTTATTCATGACACGAACATTTTCAAAGAATAGAGTCCACACTCCCCCCACTACCAACTTTTAAAACTAGAATGTTCATCATTTTGGGTTCGTCTAATAATTTGTCTCATAATGAGACACGTTATATATTCTCAGCAGAACTATTAAAAAGAGTGATCCTGTGTCCTTTTCAGGATATCATATCTGGAGGCCTGGGATGCTCATCTGCCCCATGTAGATCACCTGGTCAAGGTGCTATTCAATTTCTCTACTGTGTAATTAGCATTTTTCCTTCTTATAACTAGTGAGGAATATATGGGAAGGTACTTGAAGACCATCCAAATATCCATATCTTGCTCTTTGTTCTCTCTGTTGAAATTTAGCATTTATTGATAATGCTTGCTTGATTCTATCTTAACTGTCACAGTTGCAAAACGATTTTTCCAGCTCTCATGCTGTCTTCCCATTTACCAGTTGGCATTCAAGAGTCTGCTGTAAACATGAGTCCTTCCTTCTCCCTCATTTATTTATCACTGGTATAAACTCATGAATTCTGCCCCCTGCCATGCTTCAAACTCATTACTATCCTTAATTCATTACTGTCCTTAATTGTTTTGATAATCAAATTGTCTTAGATTTGGCTATTGAGAGCCTCTTTAAGCTGGCTCCTTTGTCTTTATGACATGTTTACATCATTTTTTTCATTTCATTTATTTATTTAGTTTTTACTATTTCCTTACTTTCTGGCATAACAAGATGCTGCAGGCTTAACTTCTGTCTTCCTTGCCCCTTCCCTGCAAATTCCTGGGTTTTACTCCCTACTTTGATTTTGATTTACCATTTAGTCTTAAAATTATAGAAAACCTCATCTCCCCTATTTATTTACTTACTGGCCCTCTGTCTTAGCTACTCATGCCATAAATATTTGTTCCTTCTTTTCCACATGCGTGACACTGGCCTAAATGCTGTTGGCGATGATAAAGAACTTACAGGCTAGTTTCAGAAAAGGCCTTCTTCTCAAATCAGGTTTTAAAGTAGAGAATAGGTGGGGAGTGGTGGCTCATGCCTGTAATCCCAGCACTTTGGGAGGCCGAGGTGGGCAGATCACCTGAGGTCAGGAGTTCGAGACCAGCCTGATGAAACCCTATCTTTACAAAAAAATACAAAAATTAGCCAAGTGTGGTGGTGCATGCCTGTTAGCCCAGCTAGTCGGGAGGCTGAGGCAGAAGAAATCTCTTGAATCCAGGAGGTGGAGGTTGCAGTGAGCCAAGATCATGCCACTGCACTCCAGGCTGGGCCACAGAGTGAGACTCCACCAAAAAAAGAAAAGAAAGGAAAAGAAAAGAAAAGAAAGAACTAGAGAACAAAGTTTTAAATAAAACAAAGAAAATATAACAATCAGGCTAGCCATGGTGGCTCAGACCTGTAATCCCAACACTTTGGGAGGCTAGGCAGGAGGATCGCTTGAGCCCAGGGGTTCGAAACTAGCCTGGGTGACATAGCAAGACCCTGTCTCAAAAAAAAAAAAAAAGAGGAAGAAAGAAAGAGAGAAAGAGAGAGAGGGAAGGGAAGGGGGAAAGGAAGAGAAGGAAAAAAAGAGAAGGGAAGGAAGGAAAGAAAAAGAAAGGAAGGGAAGGAAAGAAGGAAGGGAAAAGGAGGGAAGGAAGGAAGGAAGGAAGGAAGGATCTTGGGCACTATGTGCCAGGCAGGTGCTACAGTCTGGAAAGGGTAAACCAGAGGCTGTCCCTGAGTTTGTGGAACTCAGGGTTCAGGGTTTAGCAGCAACAAAGGAAGAGGAGTTTCCTGATGACTGTGTAGATTCCTGGGTCCCATCCAAGAGATCTTGATTCTGCAGATTTGCAGTTTGGTCCAGGAGCCAGCATCTTCATAGTTTCTCCTATTAATTAGAAGATTTCTAGTACTGAAGTTTGAGAATGATTGGATGAGTAGCTGTAAATTGGAGATTGAGGGGGCTACCTGGAAGAGGAGGGGCTTGAGCTGAGGGTCCAAGGTCAAGTCACAGGTCAGCAATGTCCACAGGGCCCAGATCTTGTAGAAACTGGAAATTAAGGGCACCCCACTAGAAAGTGACAGCATCAAAATTTAAGCTCTTCACCGGCTGGCCTCCAGCCAACGCCTATACACAAACTGGGCTCACTGAAATACTCATGCCGCAAGTCAAGGTCTCCAAGTCTTTGCTCTTCCAAGTCCAAGGCCATTTCAAAAGTCACTTCCTCTTTACTCCAGACAGACATGCTTGGGCCAATTTAATTGTTCCCTTATCTGCGTTTCCAGAGCACTTTTTACATTGCTTTATTGTGGTGCTAATCCTGTATCGTTGTGCTTTGTTTACATTTCTGCCTAGACTAAACTCAAATATCCCCAAATAATCTGGGATGGAAGGTGTTCATTCTCCCTCTTTTGCAGATGGGAAACCTGCTGTTCAGTGAGGTGAGACTTCGAGAGAGCAGCAGGGTGCAGGGTGAAGCACCTTGGTTAAAGCGACTTCTGTCACTTCTCAGCCGCAGGACCTTAGGAAGTTTCTTAACCATCTGTGCTTCATTTTCCTTGGCAGCACAATGCAGGTGATAAGCAGTAGAAACTGCCACCGAGGCAGGTTATGTGGCCTCAAGGAGTTAATATATGTAAAACTAGAAGAGGGCCTGGCAAATGGCAAGTGCTGTGTAAACGGTTATTAAGCAATTAAAGTCATGTCACTGGAATTCAAATCCAAGTTTTCAGATGATAAAGCTCCTAGATGCTTGTTCTATTTTAACTTTGTAGGACTCCAAGTTTTTCCGAAAAGTAGTAGTTGTCTTAGAAGCAGCAATAAAAGGAAGCTGGTTTGCAGTAAAAGACATTCAAGAGATAAGAGGAAGCAAAATGTTCCAGCCAACTGCTTTAATGAAGGCATGGACCAGGGAAGAGAGCAGATTGTCAGTTCTCCTGACCCTGGGTCTAGAGCACACACGGTAACACATTCATGCAAGGACCACCAGGGTAGACCTTGGGAGCTGGTCCCTCTGAGTCTCTTTACACGTCTTTCCTCTTAAGTCAGTTGTGGGTTAGATATTTGGGCCCCTGAGGTGATGTGCTACAAAGACTGCCTGCGCATCCACAGTTCTGCAAGACGGTGCCATTGACAAACGGAAAAGGTCAATTATTGCTTTGTTGAGCATGACAAAAATATTGGCTGATTTCCTGAATCTTAATGTGTGTTGTGCTACAATGGGGATTAAGAATAAAGTTTACATTTCCAACGCAATGATCATTTGTATTTTTACTTAATGCTACTTATAAGATGATTGCACAGATAGAATCTATTACCATTATTATTATTATTACTGTAAATATAGTTTAAAATGGTGAATTAAATTGTGATCGATTTTGAAGATGATGTGCAGAACAAATGAGTGACGAATGTATGTGAAAGTTTTCAGTTTAGGGACCAAGGGTAGACAGTATCTACATGTGGAAGAGTTTCAGTGATTAACCTTTGCATCAAATATTAATAACTTAGAATGCTTGATCTTCCTAACTGGGAGCTGTTTTAGAATAGCCATTCTCAAACTTGAGCATGTGTCAGAAGCATCTTTAAGGCTTATTAAAATACAGGTGGGGCACGGTGGCTCGTGCCTGTAACCCAACACTTTGGGAGGCCAAGGCAGGTAGATCACTTGAGTCCAGGAGTTCAAGACCAGCCTGAGCAACATGGGGAAACCCAATCTCTACCAAAAATCCAAAAATTAGCAGGGCGTGGTGGTGTGGGCCTGTAGTCTCAGCTACTACAGAGGCTGAGGTGGGAGGATTGCTTGAGCCCAAGAAGTCAAGGCCGCAGCGAGCCAGGATCATGACACTGCACTCTAGCCTGGGGGACAGAGAGAGATCTTATCTCAAAACAAACACCCCACAAATTGCTGAACCCCATCCCCAGATTTTCTGATTTAGGGTGTCTGGGGTGGAGCCCATGAATCTGTTTCTTTATTATAGTAAGTTCCCAGGTGATGTGGATTCTGCTGGTCCCCAGAGAGTTTGAGAACTATTGACTCAGAACAAACATCCCGTCTCTGATAGCGCCTTTCCACCAGGTGAGCTGGAATGCAACGTAACTGGATTTGTTTTAAATAGGCCACCTTATGCAGTCAGATTTCCCAACCACTTTTAGCATTTTACAGACCAAGAGAGCCGTGACTTCATTATTTCTCACTAGAAGAAAAAAAAATCATTTGTCTCTCTGTCCTGGGATTTAAAAAAATTTTTTTTAAAAAAAGATCACAAACCTTAGGAAGATTTTAAAGGAATCTTATAGTTAACTGTAGCCTTAGCTGCATGTTTCTTGTGTCTTAATAACTAAATGCATTTAGACTTCTTGCATTTCCCAGTACTTTAAGGAAATCATTGAAAAGCTGCTTCTTCATCTAGGTTTGTCCTTCATTGGGACCCTCTTGGGCTAGCGCGCTTCGAGGTGATGACCAGCAGGTGGCGCTCTGCATCAGTTCATGGGGGCGGCCTGACTCGGGTGAAGGCAAACACACAAACCAAGGGGCCTGCTTTAAATCTTCAAAGTAAAGGTCCTCTTAACCACTTGTCATAAAACACCCTGAGACGCCCGTCTTGGAAAATCGAAGTGTCAAGCTCAGCATCTTTGCCACATTTCAAACTAGGTAATTACCTTCTCTCCCAAAGGGAATCTGCTTTATGTATTTGTGTCCTTTCTAGGTTACAAGTTTCCCAAAGGCAATGATCTTGCCTTCCACTCACTCCATACAATGCTGAAGTGAAATGCATATTTTACAATAACAATTTAATTATTCTACATTCCTCTGAGCTACATGACGACCTGTTACATAATTGCCAGTAATATAGAAATGTGCCTGCCTCATACAAACCTTTGCAATCCATGGAAGTTTTTATTTGACCTAAGAGTAAATTGCTTATTTACTTCTCCTTTACAATACAAAAAGCAGAGCATTTCCCCGCCATCCCAGCTTATAAGTCGTAATCAAATAAACAACACTGCATTTCAGTCTGTCATTTTTATTAAGCCTGCAGAGCTGGTTTTTTTTTTTTCTACACACGACAAATACTTTGATATAATCTAGGATAATAAAATAGTTGAACAACTTTTTTTTTAAGATTTATATTTGTATAGAAACAATCTGTGGAGCTCCTCACCTCGAAATGAAGGTGTCTAAAAACAGTGGTTCATCAGCACTGCTTTAAATAATTGTTTGGTTAAAAGTTGTGGTTTCCATTCTCAACCAAAATGTGTCTCCATGCAGTTTTCCTTGGGTCCAAAGCTTAAGGCCCTGGGAAGGGGGCCAAGAAAAAAAGAATGGCCACTCCTTTCTGTCCTTCCCTTGTGTGGAGGACAGTCGTTGAAACAGGGGTGTTACAAAACCCAGGAAGAAAAGAAATCAATTGCACATCTCTAGTTTGCAAGCATCAAAGTCACAACAAGTCTTTACACAACAACTCCCTATCTGTGGATATGAAATTCCATCATGACCGCACAGTGCCTGCTTGCCCCTAAATGTTCCTGTCTTCTGCTAGTCATGTTAGTTACCACAGATGGCTGTGGCCGCAAGCTCTCCCTTAAGGGCTGGTCCTCTGTCACCTTGAAGTGCCAGCCCTTGAATTATGCCACTTGGATGCTATTCCTTGGTACCCAATAAAGGTCTACCATCCCCTAAGAAAACCCTTACCCCACCCTCAAACCCCCAAAGTGCCTAAGAGTGAAGACGAAGATGCCATGGAGACGGTGTCTTCAGTGAACACCTCCCCAAAGATGCCCGGGGACTCGGGCCTATATCATCCCATTGATCTTAGTCCACTCGTAGATGTCCTGTTCGCACACTATGTCGGAGTTGATGAGGAGGTATCTGTCACCTACACAGAAATGCTTCTGACAGGCGGCACATTTGAAACATTCCAGGTGATACACTTTGTCTTTCACCCGCATCGTCATCTCATAGGCACGAATCCGTTTGTCACAGGATGCGCAGAGACCGTCTTGCCCAAAAAGCCTGGGGCAAAAGAAAGAAAAGCTAAGAAGACAGTGAAAGGGACAATCCTGGAAGACAGGGCTCAGGGATGAGCCCTGGAAAGGAGGCCGAACTTTCAGGATGTCAGGAAGCCAGGAAAGGACAGCTCCAGAAGGAGGGCCGGCTAGTGCAATCTTTCCGAGCAGGCAGAGGGAACTCAGATGAAACTGGCATTTGGATCTGGCGTAACTCCTCCCTTTTCTGAGCCCTCTCCCTGTCTGCAACAACTGCTCACCATTCCCCTGGGCTGCCCCCTGGCTGCTCCTCTGTGGGCGAGACTCTCAGCTGATGTGATCTATGATAAGGAGTTAGGCAAGTATTACCTGTCCCCTCCCAGGGGAACCCTCATTTCAGAAGAGCAGCTGGAAGGAGACCCTAAGGGTCCCTCTGAGAGGGTACTGACCAGGAATGCAATAAAATGGGCATTCTTCTGAGGCTCCCAAACTCTATCATATCAACAGCCACGGATTCTACCCATGGGGAGAGCTGACCTTGAATACCTCCGTAAGCTGCAAAGCACATCTCCAACTGCTTATTCGCTGCGGCCCCAGCTGCTGGGAGACAGGGACTTCCACAGAAATCACGCAGTACAGCTAATCGCACCTCTGAGATATAGAGGACAAACAGCATCTCTCCGCCATGAATGGAAGATCTTAATTCATGGCCCTTGCTGCCCCATTGTCATGAATCAAAAGTGAAACTTTTTTTCTGACATTTAAACCAAGACTCTGCCAAGCCTCAGTTGATCAGTCACTTATTTCAGGCAGTATTCAGTGTCAAGGTGGGAGACAGAACATGGCAGGGCTCAGTGCAGTGGTTCTCAAAAGTGTTGGTCCTGGGACCAGCAGCATCAGCACTGCCTGGGAACCTGTTAGAAATACAATTTCTCAGGCTGGGCGCAGTGACTCACACCTGTAATCCCAGCACTTTGGGAGGCTGAGGCAGGCAGATCACTTGAGCTCACAAGTTTGAGACCGCCCTGGGCAACATGGTGAAACTCTGTCTCTACAAAAAATACAAAAATTAGCCGGGTGTGGTGGTGCATGCCTCTAGTCTCAGCTATTAATACTTGGGAGGCTGAGGTGGGAGGCTTTAGCCCGGGAAGTGGAGGTTGCAGTGAGCCGAGATCATGCCACTGCACTCCAGCCTGGGTCACAGAGCCAGACCTTG